CAAGTAAAGCTGGTTCCAATGGGTTTTGTCACTTTCCCAAGTAGCAGATGGATAGTGTCCAAATACTTGTCCAAAAATTTGGCATTGTCCTTCTCTGTGTTTCTGAACGTCTTGCTGAATCTTGGTTGCATAGTCTAGAGGTAGAATTTCCCATGGAGTATCATCTTCTATGTCTGGCCAAATTTGTGGAGGAATTGTCTGGTTGATTTCAGCCATTTTTCTTTAAAATTCTCGAAACTCCTTTGGACACCTTTCCCAATCTTGATGGAGATTGAAAGGTTGGACTGCATACTTCTTGATATAAGAGAAGTGTTCATAAGAACCTGTTTCTATAAAATATTCTTGCCGTTGGAAAATCAGAATTACAAAAACATTGTTTTGGGAAGTTCTCAAATCTTTAAATTTTAAAGAAAATGCTTTAAACATTTTTATCCAATAAAAAATAGGAGAAAACCATTCGAAGAATTTCTTTGCTTCAAAATGTGCTTCTTGAAATTGATCATTTTTGTTAAAACTTCGAAAAGTGATTTCTTTGAACCATTCAAGAGATTCACAAATATTAAAAGAAACTCCAATTTGGAAAAGTTCCAATAAGTACAACAGAAAACAAAGTAATTCCTTTGAAAATTTTGAAACTGCTTGGTGTGGGATTATATGGGACAAATTAAAAAATGGATAATCTTGATGAAATCCAAGACCACCAAGAGTTTCAATTCTTGTTTGCCTGATAACAATGGACTGATATTTTAACATGAACTATTTGGCTCGGGAATGGAGGGTTTTGTCTCTGATAAGAGCATTAAGTTTTGGGGGAATTTGTTCATTTTGAGAAAGCAAATGAAAGGGAAGGTTCATCATACAAATTACAGGAATAGGTTGGGAGTGAAAAGCTTTTGGTCTGGTGAGTAGGTCTGGAAGGAGGTTGGTTTTTCCCTTTATATGTTTGACATCAAAGTCAAAGTTTGAAAACCATTCTGCCCATCTGAGTAGTTAAGAATTTGGAATTTGTTTTTGTTTGAATGAAAGCATTTTAGGGAATGCTGACATGTCCATTTCAATAAGAAATTTGTGTCCAATGAGATGAAACTGAAATTTCTCAATACCTCGTTTTACCGCCAAGATTTCTTTGAAAGTGGAATGATAATGTTTTTCTGCTTCTGAGAATGCTCCACTTTTGTATCCACAAATGTTTCTTTTTCCATTTTTCTCCTCCAATAGAATTGAATAATGTAACAATCAAGTGTAAGCAAAAGAGTCGACAATCTTCATGTAACAATGCATTTGGAACTATGAAACCAATCCAATTTGAAGTGTGATTTTAGAGTTCAATTTGAAGCCTGTTAACTACATGAACGTGTATTTATTATTGAATTACTTGATTAGACAAAAAGAAAATAAGAATCGATCAGGGTTTGGTCAACAATCACGTCAAAAGGGTAGAGTGCGTAAAACAGAATATTATCGGATAACATAAATCAAATGGGGGCTGCAACCATTGCTCACACATGGCTAATGTCGTAGGGACCCAATTTCACATGCTGTCTCGTCGGACCCTCTTCCAGTGCCCTTATATTCATTATCAAATTAATAAATTTGGACTTAAATATGTCATCTATGTCCTAGGGTCGAAGAATTCATGTATACTATTCACTTAAATATCTTTACTTTCTAGAACATGCTTTGAGATGGGGATATTACATAGAACAAATAAATGAGTCGATAACACAATTATTTTTTGTCCCATTCGACTTTTCACGTGTACTCTTGGACTTTGGAGTCTACTTCAAATCACATGCACAGCTACACTTTCAAATTTTAATTTTATACAATTTCACAAAGTTCCAATTTCAATAAAAACAAATTTGCCCTATTTTCCAAAGGGAAAATCTTGTTAAGAGTATGAAGTTTTAAATTAGCATAGACTGGACGTGTCGACTAAGAGAGGCTGGTTGAATCACTAGGTGACATAATTATTATTTTTTTAGATAAATTTTCATAATTAAAAAAAAAAGGAAAAAAGAAATACTTGTATAGTCGCAATATGGAGAGCAAGGTCTATTTTCAATCAAATTTAGATAGAAAACATTATAGACGACTTACTATTTAAAGTAAGTTCTTTGGAACGATATAGAGCCAATTATTATGAACTTAATATGAAACTTGTCATCTTCGTTGTTTCGAGTGCTTTCGGTTGTCTACTAGTTTCTTTAACTGTGGTGGCAGTTGGTGAGCGTTGTGGCTAGGAGTATTGGGGCTTTGTTTTTGAACCTAATCCAGTTGTCTTTTGTGCAATGTTAGGTATTTTTCCAGGACAGTGGCAGCCTAACTTTTCATAATAATTTGAGTATAAATAGAGAATTTACTAGTATAACGTAAACTGAATTACTTTACAGAGTTCTATTATAGTATTAATATATCTTATTTATACAGACTATAATGAACCAAGACTTATCTCTAGCATGTCCTGTGAGATTGTGATTTCATTAGAGAGATCGAGGACTGAAGAAAGGCACATCTAAACAATGGACAATTATTTGGTAAGTGCATCGATATGTTGGTCAGAGGAGGCAACATAAGAAACTCGGAGGTCACCCAACTGGACCTTCTCTCTTATGAAGCTCATCAAAAGAAATTAGGGTTTCACGAGCATGGACGATAAATGAGATATCTTTTAGTCATTAGGAAGGTCATCAAGGATTTCGAGGGTTAGACCTTCAAAGTGAATTGGAGAGTTCATGACTGGAAGTTCATCATCTTTGTCTTTTACCGGTTGAAGGTATTCACTATGATGGATTGGATCCTTTGGAGATATTCGATAGTGCAAGGTATTTTGAAACTCCATAAATCCTTTCAAATCGGAGGCAACTTGGTGGGAAGAATGACACTGCACTCCTTACTTAACACTATTGTCTCGTACTCCTCAAGCTTTGTCTTCTTGATTAGCATCTCCTTAATGATATTCATGTACACTAGCATAAGAGCCAATGCTTCTTTGAAGGGAATATTGATGTACAGTTTCATTAACTTTTGAGGAAAATGGATGAGAGGAACATATGCTTTGAGAAGCATGTGTATCTCCACATGTGGAATATCTTTATTTTATTTTATTTTATTTTATTTTAAAATCCGTCTTCCTGTTTAAATCACTTCACATTCACTTCATCTATTTCTTTCATTGTTTAATCTAAAAAATAAACGTTCCAGACTAGTTAAATGGTTCCAACTTAATTTTAGTTTAGAAAATAAAAATACAAACAACTCCTCTATTACTATTTTGTTTTGGTTCAAATAAATAATAAGATTAAAATATGTCAATAATAAGTAACAGGATCTTCATGAAGTGATAATATGGACTCTTTAGGTACTACAATTGTCTGGCTATAGTACATTCGTGATTTCATTTGAACATACCATCGATATAACCCATGAGATCAGAGTTCGACAAGAACAATGTAAAATTGGAGACACCAAGAGGGATGGTAGTGGTTACTTTGAGAGAGACTTGGACTGCAATATTGATATAGATGTTTGGAGTTGGAAAAACTACAAGGTTGATCACTCCAATGAGATCGGTATAAATAAAGCTTATGTTTGACCTTCATTTTTCAAAAATCAATTTTTTATAAAAAAAATTACGTCAACAACAAATTTTTTTAAGACCTATAATTGTTATCAACTTTTTTTTTTTATACATTTCATTAATTTTTATTAAAATCTACTAAAAATATAATTTTTATCTAAATCAAACATAGGCTTATTTAAAAGTACAATGTGAACTTAAGTATTATGTAAAGAGATTTATTTACAAACTTGGGCCCTTGGCCCAAATTCAGTTGGGTAAGAGATTGGGCCAGGCTCAAATTGCCCACTTTATCCCCATGAAGCCAACTGGTGCTCTTAGTATCGATTAGTTGGGCTATTTTGATGGAAAGCACTTACAGTATCGTGGCCGATGAATCTATTTTTCTCATGCATAAAAGAAGCAACGATTCTTGTAAAGAGCCAAGCATGGAATATTCTTATCTTTCACTATTATTATTAAAATCGTTTTTACCTTTCATTTTTTTGATATTTTTACCCGCATTTTCATATTTCATTGCCCAAAAGATTATTTTATTAATTTTCTCAATTAAAAGTTTTGAAATGACGAATATACCATTTTATTTAAATAAAACAAAAGGATAAAGAAAGGATTAATTTCAACCATAGTCCCAATTTTTTTAAAAAAATTGAAAACTAGTCCGAATAAGTTACTAAAAGGGTAATTAGCACATATGTCTTTACCTTTCTTTCTTTTTTCTTTTTTTTTTTGACATTTTCACCATTATTTCCACATTTTATTGCGCAAATGGTAATTTTCATCTATTTTCTCAACAAAAGTTGTGGAATAATGAATATACCATTTTATTTAAAAAAGAAAAAAAAGAAAAAAAGAAAGAATTAATTGCAATCATAGCCATAAATTGCTCAATAAAAGTTGTCAAATGACAAATATACTCTCTTATTTAAATAAAAAAATTATTTTTTTCGAATTTTAATAATATATTTTGGACTCGTTTGTGCTTTTTTTTTTAATTTTAATAATTTATTGGGAATTCTTTTACATTTTTTAAAATTAATTTTTAATTTTTTAAATAATTTATTTGAAACTCATTTGCACTTTAAAAAAAACAAAGGAATTGGGACTATGATTGCAATTAATTCTTCATTTTTCCATTAAATAGAGGATATATTTGTTATTTTACAACTTTTATTGAAAAATTTGGAACTATGGTGGTAATTAGTTCCTTTTTTTTTATTTAAATAAATGAGTATATTCGTCATTTTACAACATTTATTGAGGAAATGAATGAAAATAATTTACAATAAAATATACGTATAAGAGTGAAAATGTTGAAAAATAGTTGGGTCACGCTGAATTTTTCACTGCATCCATGTGATGTAACGCGCTTATTACAGTCGCGTGGCTGATGATGAATCTCTATTTTCGTGTATAAAAGAAGCACGACCCCTGTGAAGAGGCGAGAAAAGAAACACCAGAAGCTTTATGGCCGAGGACTCCTCCTGCTATACAAGTTCCACCGATTTTTCCAATTTTACCCTCCATCTTTCATCAAATTCTCCTCCTACGCTCACCCTTCTTCTCCGTTTCCCTCGTAGCTCAGGTATGCGTGCATATTCAATATTTTACTTGCAATTTTATTTTTTATTAAATGGCTTCAAGTTTTATGGGTTTCTTTTCTTTTTTTATTTTTCAATTTTGATAAAGTAATTTAATTAATTAATTTATTTTTTTGATGAAGTACTTCACTTTTTAGTCTTTTTAGATTTTTCTTATATCATTATTTGTTATAAATGTTTGAAATTTTGGATATGCAATTGAAAGGGTAAAATTTAGTGAATTGAATTTTTTGGGAGGCATAATTTGAGATTAAACTACAGTTTTTAAATATGAATTAAGAAACGTCCACGCCATAGGAAAAAAATTGATGATGTTTATACTAATTTCGTCCCAGTGAACTGTGTTGACTTTTTGGTTAATTCATCCTTTGATTAATCATAAGTTTCTTAATCTTATAATTAGATATTTGCAAAATTTTGAACTACAAATTAATTATTAGCATACAAATTGTAAAATGTTCCATTTCTAAGGAAACACCACACATGGAAGTATAAAATACTTCTGCAAGAAACAACAACATAATAATATAAATAAAATTTGATTTTTACATTTATAGTCCGACCACAGTATGTTTTATTAAAGATGCATCACTGTAAATGTAATATTTAAATGTTCAACATTTTTTCTTATGTAATTTTGTCGTTAGGCCTTTGAGAAATAAATGTAGCTTCATGCATTTTGTTTTCGGAAGTTTTGTATAGCTGTACAAAATTTGACACATCATTTATATCGATCATTTGGGAGTATAATAATGAAGCCTTGTTTATCCACAAACAGCTGAGTGTTTAGAGAACCATGGGAGACTCAGTGGATTTGACTGGGGATGGAGGTGTGCTTAAGACAATTGTGCGGCGAGCCAAACCTGATGCAATTGCCCCATCAGAGAGCCTTCCTCTTCTTGATGGTACGTTCATGTCATTGATTCAGGCTCTCTAGAACGATGTTAATTTTCATTTTCATGAGATTCTTAAAGTTCTGGCTGCTGCTGATTTCATATTTTCAAACACAACAATTTTAAAGTTGGGACCTGATAAGATCTACATTTTATAATATAAATGGCATGACTAGAATTTGTTAGTTCAAGAAGGCAAATAAGTGATAAAATGTGAAATTGAGAACATAATTATATTGCTAATTTCTTGGAAAAATAAATGATGACAAGGATTAAAATCAGCCATCACCTTGTAAGGAATTAGGAAAATAGAAGATCACCCAATAAAAACATTATAAGATGATGCTTTAGTGAATGTATGTAAAGCTCTCTCTCTCTCTCTTTTTCCTTTTTCTAAAAACTTTTTCAGAGATTCATTTAACCTCTCGTGTTGCTTAGTTTTGAAGTCCAAAAAGTGAAGTCCTTGATTCGTGGACTTAGAAATTGTAAAAGCTGATTTAATGAATATGATCAACCTCTATCTTCCATTTTACTCTAACCAGTTTTGTGTTTTTCTTCTAGCAAATTTTTGTCTCTTAAAATTAATGGCTTTTAACTCTCTTTAATTTATTTACCGAGTTTTCCTTTATACATAATTTGGTGAAATAGTTGTGTTTTCTAGTTCATTTTTTTCGAAGTTTATATCATCCAGATTTGTTGTGGTTCGGCATCCTCGCAGTGTTTTTCTTTACAATAGTTGACAACATCGTTTATTAGGACACCAGTCAATAAAATCATTTTTTCCCCCTCAAAGTACTATTTAAATTGCAGTCATTGTTTTTCAAGTTATTTGGCTGATGAAATTTACATTTGTTTATCTTGGAATTATAGTGGGTTGCTAGAGGGAAAACTATACAAGAGTGTATTTGTAGCATGGTTGCAGTAAACTTAGGGCCTTATATGCATTTAAGTAGTTTATTGCCTAAGAAGCACCGATATGGACACAAGATAAGTGTCGGACACATCGACATGCTATTTTTTGAAAAAGTTCGGACACAATACGTTACCTACACATTGATTAAAATATTATTTTTTTACTCGTTTAAGTTAATAGTCGAGAGTATTTCCTACTTTGAAGGTAAACTAAATGAAGCTTGTCGAGTACTAAAATGCTCTCTTGACTCAATTAAATTACTTGGTTTGATCATTGCAATGCTTAATTTCTTTTCAAATATTTTTAAATTTCGTGGCAAAAAAATTATCTTATCACTCTTGTCAATTACTAATGTTTGGTTACCTTTTTAAAGGGGACATTGTTTGGGAAGCCCCTTTCTCGATCAGAACGAAATATGGCCTTTGTCTAAGAGTTCGCTTATATATATTCATTTACGAACAAAACACTTCATTTAAAAATCATAAAATGTTAGATCTTATCTATCCTTCCACATCAAATTGTTGTTTTTAATTTAATTGCATAAAGTTTAGGCCCCGTTTGATTCCCATAGATTTAAGAATGAGAATGAAAAATATAGTCGTTATGGGACCCACATAAGGGATATAAATTCAAATATAGTGGCTTGATGTGATGGATAATGGTCATATTTTTCATATTTGTGGTCAACAAATGGAAATCAAATGGGGGCTTAGTGTCAATTTAAACTGCTAGCCAATCCACTTGACCCCATTCAACTACAAAAGAATGCCGTGTTTAATTTTCTACTTTCACTTTTCAAGTTATCTAACAAAGTTTTAAATCCATAACCAAGTGTTAAGATACCAGTTGAGCAGCTATGTATCAGTAATCGATAGGCTGATTTGGTAATGTAATTCTCAAAGTTATATTCAATAGATCATGACAGCAAACCCTTTTTTTGTATTGATAAAATGAACGGAAATTAAGTGACAATTCCAAGCATTCGATAGGCTTAGATCTCTTTCCCTCTTTTCTAAACAATTCATCGAATGCCTATCTAATTTCCCTACCCACCTTATTTATAGAGTTTCTCTGTAACAGACTAATGAACATTCTAGAATAACAAATGACGTGGCAGTATCCATGTGAACTAGATAGGGATCTATCATTACTCGCAGTCTCAGAATCCACCTTATCCTCAGAATTCCATATAACCGAACCATTTCTTTGGTAAGAATCGCGACCAAGGCAAATGTTGAATTGGGATATTTCAATTCGAAAGCATTTAAAAAGTTCCAATACTGACCACTTACACTTAGAATGTTATCCATACAAATCCTATAACTGGTCGCACTCCTTTGCGGGTTTTCCAAAAAATGAAACCGACGAATCAGAGTACCATGGTGGAAGGTTGCCTAATCAATCAACTTTGCGACCCCCTCTTCTTGTGCAACTACCAAATCAATTAACAACCCTAATGTATTAACAACCTCCACACCATTGATGGCATTAAAAATACCGCCACTTTTGTAGCCACCTTCCAATTCAAATTTATCATCTGATATTTCTCCCATCTCATTGTTTGGCAGTAAAGTCCCATGGCCCCTCTTATAAAATTCACTCCAACCTACTTTGTAAGGCCCCAAATACCTCGTGAACAACGAGGGATATCCCAGAATATCCCCTTCTTGAACTTCCAATTGATTACTCCCTTTTTTCGCTTGTACCATCAAAACCTGCAGCTCCTTGTTTGGACAAGAATGACTTGGATTGTATTTTGCATCATCTCGATAACGAAACCCTTTTTCCCTCTTCCGCTGTAACTCAACGTATGTCAATGTTTTAAAGGGATGTCCTCTTTTTATCGTGGCCAAAGGGAATACGGAGTTGGCAGTGGTTTTTGTGTTGATTAGGTTGTTTGATGTGGTGCTTGGTGAGTTGGGTTACGTGTGGGGAATTGTGGGCTCGGGTTATAGACATTAATTTTAGGTTTAAATGGGCCTGCTTCTTTTCATTCTTGTCTTCAATCCTTTGGACTAACTCCATATTTTGGCCCGCACCTACAGGCAAATTCCTGTCCTCAACCCCATCCCATGAATTTAGCCCATAGATGTGATAACCATCCAATTCCTCTTCTAGTAGCGATGGCAAAAGAGCGGTAGTTGCCATGATTTCGAACGGCTTCCGGTACTCCCTACAATTTCGGCCGCTTGTAGTAGCTCCCATTTCATCAAGTTTGGGTAGGATTTCAGAATTGAAGGTGGCTTTAGATGGGGTCGCTGCCAGTCCTTTCTCCTTCCCTTGAAGCTTCTGTCCATCACCGTCCTTCACTGCATCTGAGATTGCCAGTAATGGAGCTGCCATTCCTTCCAAAACCAGAATTCTTAGCTTACGATCATGTGCCCCTGCCTTACTTGGTTCTTCACTGCCGTCATGGCTGTCAGTAATTGCCCCAGTTTCCTCTGGTTGAGGTAGTGTAGCCGCAAGACCTTTTTCTGCCTCAGCTCATCCCATTTTTTCCATCAAGTCAAGCTTCTCCATCATCCTAGTCGTTGCCCTCTTCATTTCCAATTTCAATATTTTCAAATCTTCCTGTACTTCAAACTGAATTCCATCAATTATCGTCTCCAATTTATCGACTCGATCTTCTACTTGCTTTTCTTCATCAAATGTAATTCCCTAGGGTTAGAATGGTTGCTCTGATGCCATTTTGTTAAGATACCAGTTGAGCAGCTATGTATTAGTAATCGATAGGCTGATTTGGTAATGTGATTCTCAAGTTATATTCAATAGATCATCACATTAAACTGTTTTTTTGTATCGATAAAATGAACGTAAATTAAATGACAATTCCAAGCATTCGAGAGGCTTAAATCTCTCCTCCACTTTTCTAAACAATTCACTGAATGCATATCTGATCCCCCTCTCCATCTTATTTATAGAGTTTCCCTCTAACCAACTAATGAACATTTTAGAATAACAAATGATGTGGTTGCATCCATGTGAACTAGATAAGGATATATCACCAACCCCTCGATTGAACAAAATTTATAAATGGTTTAATTTATAAATAAATCGAAATGAGCAATGGAAAGTACTTGTAGGTTCATTGGATTGTGTCGTTGAAAATAAAGTTTGAAAATCTAGGAATGATTCATAAAGTTTGCCAAATGAAGCTTATATTTTTCAAATGTTACATCAATATCTAATTTTTTTTCTTTTTTCATTCACAATACAATTCATTTGTAGTTAGTCTTGGCCTAGTTAGCTATGTTCCCTAATCTATTTCCAAAATCCCAAACCTATATTCTTGTGGAAAGTAGTCAAAATGTTTCTTAGACGAATTAAAGGCCGAGCAAGTATTCCAAAGATGAAGTAAGCCTTTATAAAGGACATTTTTGGGTTACTTTTTTTTACTAGTGAATGGAGGTTATTTTCTAGAGAATTTGATCTTGTCCGTTACTCATTTTGGAGCAAATTTTTAGCCAAATTCCATCTGCTGTAAAGTGTTTGTTAGAAGGGGCGCAGTTATTATTGACTGAATGGCTGTAAAATTATTGATGTGCCCTCCATATGAAATTCATTCTTTAAAAAATGGCAATTTTGGTAATTGGCAAAGAGGTGCAGTCAATAATTACTGCAACGATGGGTCCCACGTACCTTTCAACGGGCAAAAAATGTATTAAAAGTTGGCCAAAATGGCTCCCAAACAAGGGCTTAATAAGATGACCTCTTTTCATTTCCTTGAACTTTTTGTTCCTTAGATAATTTTTATTCAAAAGGATAATAAAACTTGTAGTGTGGCTCTACAAATTGTTTGTTTTAGAGCATGTATGAGAAGTGTTTATAAACAGTTTAAATAATATATAAATAGAAATGAGTCAAGGACAAGTGAATAATATTTGTTGGTTCATCACTATGTGTGGATAAAAAGTGGCTTGAGTGCTTATAAATAATTTATTAACATAATCAAAATATAGGCTTAGTTAAAAAGGCAAATCAAGTCATAGAATGTGGAAAGAGGATGTGAAAATGGATGCATCAAAATGAAGGTAGTTGTGTATTTTGACTGACTTTAAAGAGTTCACAAGTCCTTAAATGATGTGGTTTTCCTAGTAAT